GGGCAGCTGCTAGGGAGGTAGGTCTCAAACAAAGTTTTGATGTAGTAGACAAAGGTATCTTCCACATATAACCGGGCGGGTTTCAATTCAAAACTGAACTCATTAATATCAAATAAGAAGCTCTTGCCCTCAGTTAAGGTGAGGCAAAGTTTGATAAAACAATTTTTCTTGTATTCTTCCAAATCTTTGCTGGATACAAGGAGATTCTGCATCTTGAAACTGTGAGCGGCTTCTGTCTTCTCCCCCCGGCAGACCAAGACAGCGAAGTGGAAACTGGACTTGTCGTACAGCTGGTTGTCCACCTGCAGGTCCCCACAGCAGACCTCGACACAGTAAAGGTGGAAGAGGGCTGCGGCCGTCTCTTCCCCAGGGAGGTGACCAGCCCCTGGGGTCATCTGGAGAAAAACATTGTCCAGTGTGAGTCTCAGAAGTTCAGATGATGCTTTGTGGTGGGTGAGGTCATCAAACACCGCCAGGCTCAACTGAGTGATGAACATTTTAAATATCATGATCTTCTCCAGAGTTCTAGAGGAGGAAGGGAAGAGAACATTAGACTCCCCTTGCTTTTTTTTTCTTTCTTTACCTCCCTCCCTCCTCTCTAATTTCTTATTTTCTAATGATAGCACCTTATTAAGCACCTCCTGATGTCCCATCAGATTCTCATAAGAAACAAACAAGAACTTAACTTTCAGTACATCGTGTCTGGACAGAGCCCATCACACTCCAGCGGTACTGGGAAATGTTCCCAATGGGACTATTACAAGTTCTTGTGTTTCTGTATCATATTTCCCTTATCAACACGAGATTTTTATTCCAAAATCCCTCTTGTTCTTTGTGCACTAATTCTCTGTCGTGATTGTCACAAGGCAAAAAGTCATAATAAAATAACCAACATGACTTAAATTGGAAAAGAAAAGCAAGCAGAAGAACACTGACCATGAATTCCCACCACAATGGCCCAGCTACCAGCATCTCAGGTCGTGTTCTCTGCTCTCCCTGTCATTTTCAGAGCTGAACTGCCCAGGCTCCGGTCTCCATGAACCCCTCTACCGTGTGCTAAATCACTGTGCTCTTGCCCCCTTCAAGGTCATCACTCCAGCAAGGCACCCTTATTTTTTTCCTTCACTACTAACAGCTTATAAACATGCTGTTATTCTCCTATCTTAAAAAATCCCTCTTGTAATTCCCTTTCCTCCTTTACCTACTACACATTTTCCTGGTCACCTATATACAAAAACTCCAAAGCATTTTCTATATGGCGTCACCTATTCCTTGCCTTCCATTTTCTCTTACCCTTGCACCAAAGTAGGCTTCTGCCCTCTCCGGTGTATTAAAGTGGTTCTCGTCAAGGTCCCCAGTGACCTCTGTATGGCTAAGCCAAATGACTGGCTTTTAGTTTGCGGCTATCTGATGTGGTCAAATATTCCTCTGTCTGGAAACACTATCTTTTTGCACATCTGCTCTCAGCTCTTCCATGTCTGGTCAGTCATCCTCATCACCTATGTGCCTCCCCACTCTTCTCTCTGACTTCCTCAAGTTCAGCTGCCCAATGTTCAGCCCTTGGTCCTCCTTTCCTCCCATTTCCACTCACTCCCCTTGGAGATTTTCACACAGTCCCAGGGCTTGACATGCCATCTATATATGCTGATGACTTCCAGAGTCACGTATTCAGCTTAGAACTCCCTGTGAACGCCAGTCTTATATATCTAACTGCCCATCCACGCAGTAGTCACTGTATGTCTAAAAGACATTTCAGGTGGTCATGTTTGTAGTCAAACTCTAGATCTCACCCTCAAACCCACAGACCGTCTTTCCCATCTTCGTTCAGGACAACCACATCCTACTGGTTGCTCAGATCAAAACTTTAGGAGTCCTCTTTGATGTCTCTATTTTCAACCCTTATCCAATGTGTCAGGGAACTCCCACTGGCTTTTCCTTAAACGTATATCCAAAATCAGGCCATTTCTTATCACTTCCACTGGTAGTGTGGTCCAAGCCATCAGTACCTCTCGTGTGAATAACTGTATTAACCTCCTAACTGGTCTCCCTGCTTCCTCCACCTTTGTTTCTCCACAGTCTACTTCAAAAGCAGCCAGTGGTCTTCTAAAATTTAGGTCAGAGCACGTAACTTCTCTGCTCAAAAAGCTCCTATGACTTCCCCTTTTCACTCAGAATTAAAACTAAGCCCTACACAACACATCTCCTCCTTCCAGCACGTACTTCCCAGACCTCAAGCACTGCTACTTTCACGTTCCCCCACTGCATTTGGCCCACATTGGCCTCTTCCCTGGTCCTCCGATATGCCAGGCATGCTCTCCTGACCTTGGAACTGGCTGTGCCCTCTGTCTAGAGAGCTCTCGCCCCAGACAACCACGTTACTAACCCTCTTGCTGCTTTCATGTCTTTGCTCAAATGTAAACTTCCTGGTGAGGCTTACCTATACCAGTTTTTCAAAACCATGCTCTTTCTGCTCCTATGCCCTGGCATTCCTGGTCCTTACCAGGCTCTATTTTATCCTTGCAGAATGCCAACCTTCTACTGAACCATAAAATTTCCTTTTTAAATTAATGTTTATTCTCTGTTTATTCCAAACCTATGAGAATGTGGTCTCCTCAGGAGCTGGGATTTGGGACTTTTAGGTCACTGATGTATCCACAGCCCTAGAATAGCACTGGCATCCAGGAAGCACTTGAAAAATATTTGTTAAATAAATGAATTAAGAAAATACGAGTAAACACTTGTACCTTTCTTATTTTGACCACTGAGTGTATAGATTGTTGCTACTATCATTAACAATGCTCTACTAATGCCCTAGATAAAACGTTTCTGAAATTGTGTGGGCTTGAAATTTTGTTATACAATTAAAAATTTCCCCGTATTTATTTATTTATTTTAAATTGAAGTACAGTTGGTTTCTAACGTTGTGTTAATTTCTGGTGTACAGCATAGTGGTCCAGTTGTGTGTATGTGTGTATTTCTTTCCATATTCTTTTTTGTTACAGTCTATTACAAGGTACTGAATATAGTTCCCTATGATATACTGTAGTACTTGCTGTTTATTTATTTTACATAAAGTAGTTGTGTTATGCAATTTAAAATTTAGCCTCCAGCCTTATTACAGTATTAAGTTTTTACAAATACTTCTGGGCAAAGGAAACAGTCTGTCCAACCTATTTGAAATATGATAAATTCAAATTAATAATAATTTGACAAGGTCCAAAGTAAGGAGTTCTTAACCATATATGAAAAGCAAGAAACTAAAAAATAAAAGACGGCTTAAACAAATGTATGAAAGTTGATATCACTAGTTCATATTTTAAATAATTTGAATGATAGTCATTTTTATGATTATAAAATTCTTATAGAAATTAAAATACAGAAAATTATTAAATAACCACTTACAACTGCACATCTATTAAAATTTTTCATTCTTTTCTTTTCAGTGGAATTTCAGAGGAATGTTTTCTGTGAGAATGTGTGTGCATACATGTACTTATGTGTATATATGTACATATAATTAGGATACATATATATTCAATTTTATATTTTGTTTGCTTTATTTTAGATTCATTGTATGTATTTTTCTATTTCACTAAAATCCTACAAGCGTCTTTTCTGTGGAAATACCATTTATGATACATTAATGTATCCTTTATGCCCCTACTGATGGGATTTGTACTCTGAATATTTTGCCATTATAATTAGCAATGTGATAAATATCTCTTGGCATATCTTTGCCTATTTCCCTAATGACTGCTTTAACTCTTAAGCTCTTAAAACTCTTAAAAGTGGAATTTCCAAGCCAAAGGGATTTTAAAGTTCTTACTATATATTGCTAAAGTGCTCTCCAGAAAATGGTAACAACTTACACTTTTACTAGGACTGTATATGATGGAACATCATGGTTAATATCTTACTTAAATTTGCACTTCTTTGATTACCTGTGTTTCCTCTTCCTAGAATTTTCTGTTCATGCTTTTTGTCCTTATTTAATTTTTAGAAGGAGGGACTATCTTTGTATCATACCTACTGAATTATATGAGCTGTTTTAAAATAAGGATATTAACTATGGTTCACATGTCTAAAACGTGATGGCGACATCCAGGTCGAAGAGGGGAAAATGTGGCTCTAAGAGGTGAATTTATTTTTGTTGCAGCTCTAACTGCTAAATCTGATTACCAATTACCAGGTTGTCTGTGGATACAAAAGTATTAATTTGCATTTCATGCTAATGATAATGTATAATTCTAAGATGCACGTCTCAGTTTGTAAATCAGTTTGTTAAACTTACTACAGAAGAACTGGAAGCGGTACCCATGCAAGATGATATATTGCTTCTTATTATTGGTGTCATTTAATGTTAATAACCACATCCTTATGGAGTACACAACAATTAACCAAAAGCTTCAATGTTATTTTCAGGGATGATGAGGAATGGTAAACAGTAAGCTGACAACTTTAACACAGGAAACTTACCATGCTGGTACTGGGATAATAATGAAGCCTACCTGTTGGTATTAGTTAAAATAGGTCCAGCTTTTCCTTCTGGGGCCACTGTGATGAAGGCTGTGCCACATTGGTGGGCAATGTCCACATAGACATAGCCAAAGCCAGTCAGAAACACAACCTGCAAAAAGTATTCAAAATCTGATTGAAAAGAAATAAAAGATGCTATTGAAATGGCTTCTGATGTTTTAAGTTCTAATTCAATACCACAAGTTATATTTCCTTTATATCCATTTGTACAGGCTATTCCGCTGACTTGGAATGAGAAAAAAAAATCAAATCCAGATTTTTCAATATCCAGCTGTAAGGCTCACAGAAAAAGAAAGATGGATGACGGGGCATGAGTATCTTCATTCTCTGCTCTCTGGAATTGGCAAATAACTCTACAAGGGCTGGAGTCCCGCCATGGGCGAGCTTTACGCGTGCATATGAATCTCTGTGGGGAAAGAAAAACCCCGAAAACTCAGGATTTGAAATGCGATGTGCAAAAAACTTGCAGGCTCTTGAGTATTGACTTACTGCCACAAGGATGCCCTTCTATGCTGGAGACACCTGAAAACCACCAACAGGACAGGCTATAATCCCCTCAAGGTCCCTCACATAACTGTAACAAGGATGTCAGATAACTTCATTTGCTTGGAGTCAAAATTAATTTTTCTTCCATGAGAAGGTGGACTAAGACCTAGAAAAAAAAGTTCTATCTCAGAAGCCAGGTGCCAGGCCAGCAGAACAGATGTCCTTTCAGCATTAAATACCGATGGTGCTTAAATGGATAAATATTTGAAAACAGAACAGAACTATTTGAAAAACAACTCCAAGAACACCATGTTCACAGCCAGCATTACCTGAGGTTAAGGGCAAGAGCCTCCCTGTGTTTGGGAACGTTGATCGTGGTAATTTGCAATACCAACGCAGGCCAAGTCTGGGCCCTTTATTATTGTTAGGACAGCAAATGAAAGAAGAAAGGACTGAAAATTCCTGGGTGAGGGAACAAAGCTAGATGTCCACCTGGCATGTAATGGATGTATTCTAATTCTGACCAAATGAAGAGGTACCAGGAGTCTGTGATTCTCACTCCTGGATGTGACTTCAAGACCACTGGGCTTCTTTCTCGAATATTGGCTCCTCCATCAGAAATTCTGAGCGTCTTCAGCATCCAGGGCACCCGGAGGTCATCTCTGCCTCTTCCCTGTCTTCATCTCCCGCTCTGCCGGCTCCTGCACTAGCTTTTTCATTCTGCAGCCATCGCTGTAGCTTATTTAGACCCCTGTCTGCCCCTCGGCACCCTCTGTGCAGAGAACATGCCTTCCCCCATGAAAGGCCTTTCCAAATTCTCTGTATCTTTGCACCTATAGGGTAAGAACACCTTATACCAGGAAGATATTCTCTAATTTTTCTACTCCTTTCCTTGGCTTGATACCTACTCGTACATTTCTAAAAATAATTTAACCATGCTTCTGTTTGATGACAAATCTTATTGTATGTATTACAGTCACTGGTTTCTATCACAGACTCAATCACTAGATTGTCAACTTCTTAAGGGCAGGAGTGAAGTCCATTTGTATTCGCTAGTGACATGTTTCCCAAATGGATTGTTTTGCAAAAGTATCTGTTTCAGAAAACTCTTGTTTCCTGAATTTGCTCCTTTTGTTCCAAGATAAGAATTGAACTGACTATGATAAAATGTGGAATGCAGCCAACCTGAAAAACGGCTCAGCTCACGAATCTAAAACAAAACAGGTACTGAGAGACATTCACATTTATAAAAAGCTATGATTTTTATAAAAAGTATGACATGTAAAGGAAATTGATCGCTTTTTTTACTAGGCTTACAGACATGGGATTATTCATCTGACACAAATCTTTGTAAGGTCCTATGTTCCCATCCATATTCCCTTCTCTCGAGGACTGTCCATAATTTCAGAGCATTCTCCAGGGTTTTAGCAGACAGTGTTAGAAACCAGAACTACCACCCCTCCCAAGAGGGAAGGAGGTGATCAGAAGAGGGAAGTACGTATTGTTCTGCTCAATCTCAAAGCGATCTGGAGGCAGTATGAAGTGAGGACACTTGGACTTCCTAAGATCGGAAAGATAAGGCAAGCTGATGGTTTCTGTTAACTGCCCAGGGGACCCTGAAAGCAAGCAAAGCAACCCAAACCTTTGAGGTACTTCTTCTGGCCAAAAACGTAGACTCTGGAGAGAAATTCTGCAGAGTGCCCCTTTCACTCACGACTAGAACGGAAGAAACCCAGACCTTAACTCCTGGTGCCTATTCTTAGTTCTTTCCGCATGTGGAGAAACAACTCATAACGTCAAACATTTTGTACAGTGTGAGCTTTAGGGATTAGAGAGTTAGGTACCTAAGTGCCAGAGGAACTGGGCACCTACACCCAGGTCCCCCAGAAATTAAAATCAATCCTTGTCTTGGTCTCATGTTTGATCATTTAATCATCCAATCATTTATTGGATGTTTAAAGCCATGTTCACAAATAATGAAATAAGAGCTAGCAGTTCCAGGGCAGAGATGTATAAAATGCTTCTCCCCCTTAGGGTGTTAACTACCAGAGTCTTCAGTATAAGTTCGTGAGGGCACGAGTTTTGTGTGCATTTTCGTCAGTATTTATAACCAGCGCCTTGCGCTCAATGAAGATCTGAATGGACATCATCTCAATGTGGTTCCTGTGGTAGAGACTTCCAGTGCCCACCACGTCGAGCTGCCCTCCTTCTCGGCGGGGAGCGGGGTTATGCTCCCTGCCCCGCTGCTGTGGCAACGTGACTAGCTCTGGCCAACGGGCTGAGGGCAGAACTGACAGATGTCAGTTCTGCACCAAAGCATAAACGCGCCAGCCTTCTCCCCTGCTGCAGAGACGGAATAAAGGCTTTATGTTCCGTATCACTGGGGGGCCGCATCCAAGCAGATGCCTGTTCTTTTAAATAGTTTTATTGGAGCATAGCTATGTTCGTGTATTTACGTACTGACTCTCTCTAATAGCAGAGTAGAGAACTTGTACAGAGACTATGGAGCCTGCAAAGCCTGAAGTATTTACTATGTAGACCTCAAAGAAAAAGTCTGCTGAATCCTGCTCTGCGTAGCTGTGGTAGACTGTTAGACAGTCACGGAATTGCACATCTCAGGATCCATGACCTTGTTTAATCCCTTCCCATAATGACACAAAGCTTGGCTTTGCAACTTTCTTCAGCTAACGGGATGTCAGCAAGCACGAGACAAGAAGAGGCATGATACAGCTTGCTTTTTGAGGTTTACCCTCTTGTCAATCATGCGAGGAAGCCTGGTCTAGTTTCCCTACGAGGGAAAGACCACATGGTAGGAGAGCTGCCCAGACTTCCCAGCTGAACTCATCCCTAGCCAACCTCCCTCCTGAATGCAGCTGCGTGAGTGGTCTCAGGTTCATCACGCAGAAACATCACCCAACCAGACCCTCCAAATCACTGCTGTTTCAAGTCTCCATGCTTTGGGGTGGTCTGTTACAATGGGGCAATGGAAGATGATGGAGCCTCCATCAATCCTGGGTCCCTGTGTGACCATGCAGAACAGAGCCCCCTGGTGATGAGCACTGGCCATGTAGCACGAGCAAGGAGGAAAAGCTAGGATGAGGGCCGGGCAGCATAATGCGGCCTATACTGACAGAGATACTGGTCATAGTAGGGTTCCAGCAAAAACCTAAAATACGACTCCTTGGCTTAATGGTAGGCACTAGAAATTGCAATTGAAATCTACAAGAACGGGAACTCACGTTACAAAGCAGCAAGACACTCAGTAAAACCGTTGTCTGAGATGACCTGAGAGGTAGATTGTACACCTAACAGATTTATTTGTAGCTCTAGAAGATGAGGTTTGAAAACAAAATATTAGCAGTGTGTGTTGGCTGCTGCTGGCTGCGCCTGGCAACGTATTATGAAGAAGACATGAGCTCAGGAAAGAACTAGCCAGTTTGCAAATAAAAACTAAAGAGAAGAAAGAGATTCCAGAAATTCAGGGTTCTGCAGAGTTAGAAACGCTTTCAAACCCCAAACAGCCAGAGATAAAATGTAGTCTTTGGACATGCTGAGGGCTACGTATAGGCATCCCACTCACTGCTAAAACTTAACTGTTTCAGTGACCGAGAAAAAAGTTTAGATGGAGAGTATAACTTTGCCACAGAGCCTGTTTTAAATTCAGACAGAGGTAGGGAAGCAAGATAGCACAGAAAATACATCTTAAGAACTAAGGATGTGGTTATTAGCATGTGGGATTCTCTGGAGTCAAATAGATAAGAAGTCCACCGAGTTCTGGAGAAATCACTACTGCCTAATTAATTCATGAACATGGACTAAAGGAGACTGGGATTGACTAGGGCTCAATATGCCTTCAGATGTGGCCGAGGAAGACCTCGGAGGGTAAACCAGGGACTGGAAAAATGATGGTAAAAGAGTGCTTCCACAAGCAGCGAGAGGGCCTGAAGACTGCTCCCTGCTTCCAAGGTGTGCCCGCAGGGTGTGCGGGGAAACTTCAGAACTGTCATGGACAAGAGGCTATGTATGCCTCTCATTCCCCCTTTTTCTAATTTGGAGGAGTTACCAGCATTCTCTTGTCCTGTCATTTGGCAGGGGGCTGATGGGATCATAGGTCTCCAGATGAAAACGAGTCACATCCAGACTCAGAGAGCACCACTCAGAAGTACGTGATTTCCAGTGGGATGTGGTGACTGGTTAGAACCCTGGGGAGATTTGTTCTGTTGTGTTTGGGGCGGTAGTGTAGGGGGTGGAGTGGAGAATGAAGTGAATGATTAATGGCCGAGTGGATTTTTCTTTTTGGGTTGTTTGTTATTACAGTATAAGCTAGTCAGTCCTGATGAATGCTGTCGTTTAGCTATTTTTCACTTTCTTCACGTTGGTAGTGTGAGGGTGTGCATGGTAGGCTACAGGCGACATACAGTAAGAGACTTGCTGCTTTATCCACACAATACTCAGGGAGGACTCTGTGTTTTGCCATTTGTACCTGTGTCAGAGCGCTCAGATCAGTAAGTAAGCATTTAGAGAAGAAAAACTTTGAAGCCTAGGTCCTGCCTTCTACATAGTATGTTATCTTTTCCTACAGTTACCAGCAAGAGCAGTGTAATA